ACAGCTCACCCCTCACCTGCACCACCCCCCCGCCCCCCAGCGTCGCATGGGCATCCACCTGCCTGATCTTAGTGTGACACTCACTGAACTGCAGAGACATCACCTTCTTGTGGATCTCCTGCACACACACACACACACACAGATGCGCACACGCACACACAGATGCGCGCACGCACACAGATGCGCGCACGCACACAGATGCGCGCACGCACACAGATGCGCACGCACACACAGATGCACACACGCACACACAGATGCACACACGCACATACACACACAGATGCACACACACACGCACACGCACGCACACACGCACGCACACAGATGCACATACACACAGATGCACAACACACACACACGCGCACACACACACACCGATGCACTCACACACACACAGATGCACACACACACACACAGATGCACACACACACACACACAGAGAGAGAGCGATGAAGGTGCTTGATTCATAAATCAAGACCCAAAATGACAAGAGGATAAGAGGTCTTGTTTTATAAGAAACTGATCAAAATTTATAAGAAAATAAATATATCAAAACAAGAACAAATCTGTCAGAAAAATCTACTTAATTCAAAGGCAAAACAAGTTCACATTCCCCATTAACAGATATTTGTTCTTGATTTAATCATAAATCATTTAATTTTGTATCTCCAGTAAATGTATCTTGATTTAAGGATTTAATATTTGTACTGGAAAACAAGCCAAACACTGAGGAAGAGATTCAGTTAATGCCACGGCTTTATGAGTTTAAACTTTCTGCTCTGATTCAAGACCTTGATTTGTGGAAGGCTGAATTAGGAGTGCTTAAACCCACAGAAAGCCCATCAGTAGTTTCGTTATATAGGCATCCGTACGCTTCTATAGGTTATATGTGCTCGGCTCTTTCTCTACAGGGTTCTATGTGAGTATAAGCTCACTTCAGCTCAAACTACACGGGGAGAACTCATCAGAAGTGAAATCTGAGGGCAGTGTGAGATCGGAGGACTCTGTGTGTCTCAGGTGAACGCTTCACTCACCGCCTGACCGTAGACGGCCTCCTCCGGCTTCCCAGTGCCGTCCACACCGCCGTGAACATACGAGGAGCTCCTGCCGTAAAACCTGCACAGCAAACACCAGCAGAGCGTTCAGCACGGCCCTGAGAGGACTCGCCCGCACGCTCCTCTCCACTCACCTGTGCAGGTAATCCGGCGCTTTATTCAGGAGCGTGTAGTACTGCCGCACAAACTCACGTCCTACGAGCAGGGGGCTCGGCTTCTCCATCACCATCTCTCTCTCTCTCTCACACACACACACACACACTACGACACACACACACACGAGATACAGAAACACAGCAGATCATGAGAACTTTAATCAACACAGTCAGACGGGTATTTAAACACTGAAAGAGACGGACAGAACAATAGAACGATAGATAGAGCGATTAAACCCCCGTCGGTTATGTAATAAGTGAATGTAAACACTTGAGAATGAAGATATGCGTAACAGTAAATTGGATTTGTGTGGCTGACTTTCCTAACTTTAATAAGACACAAAAGAAGTTTGATTCTGTTTTATTTTGCATTGAATGACTCAGTTTCTGTAGCAGCTGTTAGTTAGTGTTCTGCTGAGGTGTTGAGAACAGTGACATTTCAATAAAAGCCTCTCAAATGTTGATATCATGACAACCTTATGAACAGAAGGACAGAGAGATGTGTAAGAGGAAGCGTTATAGACAGACACTGGAAGAGGCAGAATATGGAGGATGCAGACACAGATGGAGAGAGGCGCACGTGCGGGCTGCTTTAGCTTCACGCTAACCGCGCTCACACTCACCTGCTGCGACGCACCGCCGACCCGCTCCCGCTGCACCGGGGAAACACGACCGACCGACAGCAGCCGAGCCGAGCCCAAATATACACACACGGGGACAGACGTGCGCGCGTCCGCCACGCTCGCTCGCGCACGCGCACGCCTGTGACGCAGAAGCACTTTCAGGAAACCTTCTTCTTTTTAACTTTAAAAAAAAAAAAAAAATTTTTATGCAATTGAAACATAACAACAGTTAGGAAATAGCACGGGGCTGACGGACGTCATCACATGAAGTTAGACAAGTTACACAAATGAACAGAATATAGCAATGATAAGAAGAAGAAGAAAAGAGAGAGAAAGGAACGTCTTTTAAAGATATAGCTTACAATAGACTCAAGAATGTTGAACGTTTTAGAAGCCTTTGCGTTCAAAGGATTTGACACATTCTTAGAAGAAGTAAAAAGGGACTTTATATCAGATGAAAACAGTCTAAAGTTAGGTTTGCAATGAACGGTTCTGGCTTTATGAAGCTGAGATTTACCCAGAAGACAAAGCAATAAAGCAATATGTTCCAGATTAATGTCCTTGGAATGAAAATCTGACACAAAAATGATAGATTCTGTTATTTCTATCATTTTGTTACAGCAGGGAAAAGTTAACAAGGTCACTTCTGGGCAATGATCAAACAGAT